TATTGTGACGTTATAAAGTTACCCTTTTAAAGGTCAAGTGCAGCTTAGAGATGAGTGTGATATACTTTTACAATTCATGTATAGAGTCTATATATAGACGTTGGTTTATATAATAAAAACTCTAGTTTTAGTACTCAAACTAAAAAAAACAAGACCATGCCTATGCCCACATTATTAGAAACAACAGCTTTAAAAACAACACCGAAGAATCCAATTTAGTTGATGACTACGTATCTCTTAAAAATTACAATGTAATGTATGCCAAACATGAATCACAATTCGTCATTGCGTTATTTGCGTAAATAATCATTGCCTCAATAAGTGAGTGATAAGCGTAATAACTAATATTCAGTACATTGTACTATTGGTAGCTGTACTGAATACAAAGAATATAATGTATTTCTTGCTTTTTTTCTGATTACACCAATGTTATTGCGACAGATTTGCGCAAATGTAATTTGATATCACGCATTGTAATTATATAAATGCAAACTGCCTAGTTTTCTGGACGTGAGAAGGTGAAGAAGACTGGGAACGTCCTAGTTTTTTGTGCGTAGGGGTCTGAGAACGTCCTAGAATTACCTTATTTGGAAAAAAACTAGGCTGTTGTCGTCAAAAACTAGGACGTTCCCAGACTCCAAAATACCAATCGCGCGTAATGACGTTGTTTTAATCTAAATCTAGACATGTTGACAGAATAAAAACATTCCTAAAACAGAGATTATTAATATAATACGGAAACATCTTTACATAGGGTATTAAAATAGCAGAATATTTCGAAATTAAGCATGATAATGTAGAATACACGTACACAACACAAACTGACAACCGATTTTGTGACCTATATCAGAGCGTCCTAGTTTACGCTTTCTGGTTGCCTAGTTTTCCAATTTTTACCATTTTTTTGCCTAAAATTGGAAAATTTATGAGATTGGGTTCCCAGGCACAACTGGCCTCATTTGGAACCTTGCTGATAGAGCTATCCAGTATAAATAAAGTTAGTTTAGTTTAGGTTTCCTCCTGTAGTAACGCTGGATCAATAAGAGATGATCCTTACTGGACCTCCAGGGAGAACAGTTTAGAACCGATAGAGCTATCCAGTATAAATAAAGTTAGTATAGTTTACAACTTTACCTTGTTTTCTTATTCAACAGAGACAGGATCACGTAGCACTACGCCACATTCGAACCAAACCTCGCCGATACCACGATGTACCAGCGTGGACAACCAATCACAACCCCCAACACAACGACGTACCAGCGTGGATAACCAATCACAACTCCCGATACAACGAAGTTCCAGTGTGGACAACCAATCACAGCGCCCGATAGCCAGCTTGGATAACCAATCGGAACAGCCGGCACAGGCCAGTGGCAGAGACACCAACAATCCTGAAGAGTCAGAGGACGAAGGTTTGGGACTCAACGGATTTACTGAAGCTGACAACGTGAACGACATGTTCAAAGATATGACAGGTATGGTTGTTGAAATTTTCCTAGAAAATAAAGTGATTTAACATTGATATGTTTCTGCCCGTTACCCAATGCACAAAATCAGATAAATCACATGCCGAGATTACCATTGTTAATTCTGATAATGTCAGCGAGCTCTATATATGCTTTGTCTGTAGCGAGAACTTGAGAAAAAGCGGTTTGAAAGATTTGTCTGAAAGAATCAGATTTTACTGATTTCTAACCCCTTTTCTTCAGTATTTAGTCCTTGAATTTGCTGATACATAGCCTTGAAAAGTCCTTGAATTTGACTCTTCCTCACATGTGCGAACCCTGATAGATTGAAACAACGGTGGCCAAGCAATTATATGTGCGTTTACCACTGCATTTAAATTGTATATGTAAGTGAATTGAACATGTTTTCTTCAGATACTACAAAAATGCTGGAAAATCTAGGTAATGTTGTACCTCGGGAAGATATACTCCAACTGCTGGAGAAAGCGAAAATTGACCGTAAAGAACAAATTGATAAGTGGACAAACGAATATGAAGGTATAGAGATATCCAGTATAAATACAGTTAGTTTAGGTTTCCTCCTGTAGTAACACTAGATCAATAAGAGATGACCCTTACTTGACTTCTAAGAAGAACAGTTTAGAATTGATATAGCTATCCAGTGTAAACAACTAGTTTGGTTTAGGTTTCCTCCTGTATAATAACATTGGATCAATAAGAGATGATCCTTACTGGACTTCCAGGAAGAACAGTTTAGAACTGATAGGGCTATCCAGTATAAATAAAGTTAGTTTAGTTTAGGTTCCCTCCTGTAGTAACACTGGATCAATAAGAGATTATCCTTACTGGACTTCTAAGAAGAACAGTTTAGAATTGATAGAGCTATCCAGTATAAATAAAGTTAGTTTAGTTCAGGTTGGTTTCCTCCTGTAGTAACACTGGATCAATAGAGATGATCCTTACTGGACTTCTAGAAGAACAGTTTAGAATTGATAGAACTATCCAGTATAAATAAAGTTAGTTTAGTTTAGGTTTCCTCTTGTAGTGACACTGGATCAATAAGAGACGACTCTTTCTGAATCTCTAGGGAGAACAGTTTAGAACTGATAGAATTATCCAGTATAAATAAAGTTAGTTTAGTTAAGTGAACACATATTTTTCGTACATTTAGCGGCAGCACGATGTGAATTACGTAAATACATGGAATTTGAAAGGCTGAGAGAGAAAATTGAACGCGAACAAGAGAATGCAAAGAAACTGTGTGAAAATATCATGAAATGGAAAAAAGAAGCGGAAACGGCAAGGAAAGAAAAAGGGGAAGCAGCCGAAAAGAAATCATTGTATCAAAATAAAATCGCGGAGGAAAACGAGAAGATCCCTGTGATCAACGAGTACATTAAAATGTTTACGAATACGATCGAAGGCGAAAATTGAAGGAAATGAACTGGACTGTCTGTATTATGGTTGTGGTTCGCGGTTTGTGTGTCTTGAAGCTAAAGTCGTGTCGTAAAATGTGCTAAATATCTTGTTTTTTGCTTAATGGTTATTCGACCTGGTTTTTGCAACTGTCGTCGTTTGTCACTGATATGTAATAGTGTGGATCCATCTTGTCTTTTGTGTGCTGTATGTAAAGGCCAGTTTCGTCACGACAAGATGCACGAAACCATGCTTTTCCCCTAAAGGCCTAAACTTTAGCAAAAAAACAAGATTAAAGGACATTTCGACCGTACATTTTTGCCCTTGGGTGTGTTCCATAATCTAGCAAGAACTGTTTGTTAAAAGCACAGGCGCAACTTTAAAGATTTGTGTTTATAATATAATAGTATCAAATTGTTTTGTTATGTACATGATATATTTTTGTTAAATATTTCAAAAGCATTTGTACTGGATGCACAAGGGGGGGGGGGAGGGGGGATTTTGCACTTTGACTCTCGTCAAAAGCACTACGGTTGACACATGCACTCAAAACAAATAGCTTTGGATTGATGTGAAAAATAATATATTTTATTCAAATATATTTTTATATTAAAATTTAATTATTCTGCGGTTTTGTGTGTTTGATTGTCGAATGAATGAAATCGCGAGAAATGTCGTTGAATTCTGTTGCTCCTATATATTAATAATTAGGGACCTTTAGCTAGCAGGACGGTGACGGCTATTAATACAATGAAATTTATTACAGTGTAGAAAGAAAATGCATAATTAATGGTCCCTTGGGAGTTTTAGACATCATCCTTGCTCTGTTTACAACGGCAAACCAAAGATTTTCACGTTTTTTACACAACGTCTGCCTTTCAAGCCGCGAGAAGTCGTCCTCGGCAAATTGGCGTAGTAGAAGTCTTCTCAACTATAAACCTCTATCTTAACCTTAACCTTAAACTGCAATAAATTCATACAACGGATAATACAAGACATGTTGTTCTTAAAGTTACTTATTTGAACGAGTTTGTTTTGGTCGTCGTCGTCGCGTTGCCGTCACCTATTTGCTAAAGGTCCCTATTAATAATTGTCAACACTTCTGCAGTTGAATACCATCCTGTTGTTGTGTAACGTTTTCTGCAATTTTGCTGTGCTGTAACCCACTGTAATAAGGGACCTTTAGCAAATAGGTGACGGCAACGCGACGACGACGGCCAAAACAAACTCGTTCAAATAAGTAACTTTAAGAACAACATGTCTTGTATTATCCGTTGTATGAATTTATTGCAGTTTAAGAAGGTTAAGACAGAGGTTTATAGTTGAGAAGACTTCTACTAAGCCAATTTGGCGAGGACGACTTCTCGCGGCTTGAAAGGCAGACGTTGTATACAAAACGTGAAAATCTTTGGTTTGCTGTTGTAAACAGAGCAAGGACGACGTCTAAAACTCCCAAGGGCCTTTAATTATGCATTTTCTTTCTACACTGTCATAAATTTCATTGTATTAATAGCCGTTGCCGTCCTGCTAGCTAAAGGTCCCTAATGTTCAATTCGTAACACTATAATTCACCATGGACTTTTCCACTATCCTGCGACGCCGGTTTCGTCTTGTTAAAATACCTCGCGGTCAACAAGGCAGCATTTCTGCCTGACAGAGCAGACATCTCCATGGCGCTGGATGACCACTCAATCGCGTTCACATAAAACACTCCGTCGTCTAACACAAAAGGCAGAAATTTGTCAGGTGGTGTATAATGTGGGTATGCTAGCCAGATCACTTCTTTCAATTCTGTAGTCTGGGAAAATAACTTCGCTGTTTGCTCGTCTGTTAATGGTTTTCTGCTGAAGACTTTCCACACATTACCTGGCGTTGCGGGTTCTTTACCTTTATACACGGACGTCTGTTTTCCTATTGAACTACAAAAATAAACCCATGAAAATGTACGTTAGAACTGATAGAGCGATCCAGTATAGATCAAGTTAGTTTAGTTTAAGTTTCCTTCTGTAGTAACTCTGGATCAATAAGAGATGATCCTTAATACTGGTCCTCTAGGAAGAACAGTTTAGAACTGATAGAGCTATCCAGTATAGATCAAGTTAGTTTAGTTTAAGTTTCCTCCTGTAGTAACACTGGATCAATAAGAGATGATCCTTACTGGACCTCTAGGAAGAACAGTTTAGAACTGATAGAGCGATCCAGTATAGATCAAGTTAGTTTAGTTTAGGTTTCCTCGTGTAGTAACACTGGATCAATAAGAGATTATCCTTACTGGACCTCTAGGAAGAACAGTTTAGAACTGATAGAGCGATCCAGTCTAAATAAAGTTAGTTTAGTTTAGGTTTCCTTGTGTAGTAACACTGGATCAATAAGAGATGATCCTTACTGGACCTCTAGGAAGAACAGTTTAGAACTGATAGACAGATAGAGCTATCCAGTATAAATAAAGTTATAGTTTAGTTTAGGTTTCCTCCTGTAGTAACAGTGGATCAATAAGAGATGATCCTTACAGGACTCTAGGGAAAACAGCTTGGAACTGATAGAGTTAGTTTAATCTAGCTGTTCAATTAGGTTCTAGTGTATTGCCATAAAACATAAATACCATACTTGAAAAATATATCCGGTTTTTCCATGGTGCCAATTGTGTTTGGTTTACTCCCAAAAACATCTTCATTCAGTGTGCCATTAACAAACGTTGCGACAGTCTGCTGAAACTGTCCTAACTCACTTTGCACTGGCCAGTTAGTACACTCTTGACAACCAATAAAATTCTGACGAACGTCAAGAGGAGCAGCAACAATAACCACATCAAAAGGGGTGTTAATCAAATTTTCGACACTACGCAAGTAGTATAATGGCCTTCCACCGTCGGTCGAAGTCGGCTTCTTGATAATTTCAATAATTTGTGTATTTTTGTTGAGAGTTGCAGAAGATTTGTTCAAAAGACCTTCGCAGACTTTCCAGTTGCCTCCTTTTACCGACCACAGGTTTGGTTCAGAACCAGCTAAAGATGTCATACCTGACAAAAAAAGATTAGAAGGATGATTTCATTGATCCAGACCCTAACCCTAGCTAATACTACCCAGCATTTAATCAATTAAAAATTTCCAGAGTTAACACTTTAAAGTTTCAGAACAGTGTTTATAATAGAGCTCCCAGATTATATAACTCCCTACCACCACATATTCGAGAAGCGTTAGTGTCGGCCAATTCAAATCTTACCTGTTAACTTATAATATGAAGCAACGACTAAACAAATATATAACATTAATGCTCCACAAACGTTTAAAAGTATATGTGTCAAGTGTCACTCGTGTCGTCCGTTGTCCAGTCTTGTGGATAAAATGTGTTGTAAATAATGTAATGTTGTTTTTTTTATATATACTGTACATATTATTAGGGACACTGTAAATGGAGCAAGAAGCTCTGTAGGGTTAACCTATAATTTATGATTAAGTTTGTAAAAAAAATATTTAAAAACATTTTTTAAAAAAGTTCAATTAATCACACAAACCATGCCTGTATATGTAGTTTTTTGCAGGTACCCCAAAAAATTTTCAGTTAGCCCTGCATGGTCCAAAGCTTGAAGCTTGCAACTTGCAACGGGGGACCAGGCACCGAAGAAATCGAGTTATGTTTCATATTGTCAAAATCGAGTGTCCACTAATTTGCTCAAACCCAATTAATCCAAAATATTCATAATTATATCAAGCCGAAAACGGAGTTCTGGCTTTTGAAAACGGAGTTTTGGCATTTGAAAACGGAGTTCTGGCATTTGAAAATGGAGTTCTGGCATTTGAAAGCGGAGTTTTGGCATTTGAAAACGGAGTTCTGGCATTTGAAAACGGAGTTCTGGCATTTGAAAATGGAGTTTTGGCATTTGAAAACGGAGTTCTGGCATTTGAAAGCGGAGTTCTGGCATTTGAAAATGGAGTTCTGGCATTTGAAAGCGGAGTTTTGGCATTTGAAAACGGAGCTCTGGCATTTGAAAACGGAGCTCTGGGATTTTAAAACGCGGAGTTCTGGCATTTGAAAACAGAGTTCTGGCTTTCGAAAACAGAGTTCTGGCAGTTGAAAACGGAGTTCCGACATTTGAAAACGGAGCTCCGGTATTTGAAAACGGAGTTCTGGCTTTTGAAAAGGGAGTTCTGGCATTTCTAAAGGGAGTTCTGGCATTTGAAAAGGGAGTTTTGGCATTTGAGAACTGAGTTCTGGCATTTGAAAACAGAGTTCTGGCATTTGAAAACAGAGTTCTGTCATTTGAAAAGGTAGTTCTGGCTTTTGAAAAGGGAGTTCTGGCATTTCTAAAGGGAGTTCTGGCATTTGAAAAGGGAGTTTTGGCATTTGAGAACTGAGTTCTGGCATTTGAAAACAGAGTTCTGGCATTTGAAAACAGAGTTCTGGCAGTTGAAAACGGAGTTCAGGCTTTTGGAAACGGAGTTCTGGCATTTGAAAAGGGAGTTTTGGCATTTGAGAACTGAGTTCTGGCATTTGAAAACAGAGTTCTGGCATTTGAAAACAGAGTTCTGGCAGT